CCTCCTGAATCCGAGGTTCGACTATCCAACGGACCCTCCTCTCCAGCACCCCTGAATAGACCTTACCAGGAAGGCTGAGGAGTGTGATCCCCCTATAGTTGGAACATACCCTCCGGTCCCCCTTCTTAAAAAGAGGGACCACCACCCCAGTCTGCCAATCCAGGGGCACTGCCCCCGATGTCCACGCGATGCTGCAGAGTCGTGTCAACCAAGACAGCCCCACAACATCCAGGGCCTTAAGGAACTCCGGGCGGACCTCATCCACCCCCGGGGCCCTGCCACCGAGGAGCTTCCTGACCACCTCGGCAACCTCAGCCCCAGAGATAGGAGAGCCCACACCCGAGTCCCCAGGCCCTGCTTCCTTACCGGAAGGCGTGTCGGTGGGATTGAGGAGGTCTTCGAAGTATTCCTTCCACCGATCCACAACGTCCCGAGTCGAGGTCAGCAGCGCACCGTCTCCACCATACACAGTGTTGACGATGCACTGCTTCCCCCTCCTGAGAGGCCGGATGGTGGTCCAGAACCTCTTCGAAGCCGTCCGGAAGTCGTTCTCCATGGCCTCACCGAACTCCTCCCATGTCCGGGTTTTTGCCTCAGTAACCGCCACAGCTGCGCTCCGCTTGGCCTGCCGGTACCTGCCTGCTGCCTCCGGAGTCCCACAGGCCAAAAAGGTCCTATAGGACTCCTTCTTCAGTTTGACGGCATCCCTCACCGCCGGTGTCCACCAGCGGGTTCGGGAATTGCCGCCACGGCAGGCACCGACCACCTTGCGGCCACAGCTCTGGTCAGCCGCCTTAACAATGGAGGCGTGGAACATGGCCCACTCGGACTCAATGTCCCCCGCCTCCCCCGGTACATGGTCAAAGCTCTCCCGGAGGTGGGAGTTGAAGCTCTCTCTGACAGGAGACTCTGCCAGACGTTCCCAGCAGACCCTCACAATACGTTTGGGTCTGCCAGGTCTGACCGGCATCCTCCCCCACCATCGCAGCCAACTCACCACCAGGTGGTGATCAGTTGACAGCTCCGCCCCTCTCTTCGCCCGAGTGTCCAAGACATGCGGCCGCAAGTCCGATGACACGACTACGAAGTCGATCATCGATCTGCGGCCTAGGGTGTCCTGGTGCCAAGTGCACATATGGACACCCTTATGCTTGAACATGGTGTTCGTTATGGACAATCTGTGACGAGCACAGAAGTCCAATAGCTGAACACCACTCGGGTTCAGATCGGGGGGGCCGTTCCTCCCAATCACACCCCTCCAGGTCTCACTGTCGCTGCCAACGTGGGCGTTGAAGTCCCCCAGCAGAACGAGGGAATCCCCAGAGGGAGCACTTTCCAGCACCCCCTCCAAGGAGTCCAAAAAGGGTGGATACTCTGAACTGCTGTTTGGACCATAGGCACAAACAACAGTCAGGATCCGTCCCCCCACCCGAAGGCGGAGGGAGGCTACCCTCTCGTCTACCGGGGTAAACTCCAACATACAGGCACCAAGCCGGGGGGCAAATAAGTATTGCCACCCCTGCCCGGCGCCTCTCACCAGTGGCAACTCCAGAGTGGAAGAGAGTCCAACCCCTCTCGAGAAGACTGGTTCCAGAGCCCTTGCTATGCGTCGAGGTGAGGCCGACTATATCTAGCCGGAACATCTCAACCTCGCGCATCAGCTCAGGCTCCTTCCCCACCAGAGAGGTGACGTTCCACGTCCCTAGAGCTAGCTTCTGCAGCCGAGGATCGGACCGCCAAGGTCCCCGCCTTCGGCCGCCGCCCAGCTCGCACTGCACCCGACCCCTTTGGCCCCTCCTGCTGGTAGTGAGCCGGCGGGAAGGGGGTCCCACGTCATCCTGTGCCCGGCCGGGCCCCACGGGTACAGGCCCGGCCACCAGGCGCTCGCCCCCATGCCCCACCCCCAGGCCTGGCTCCAGGGGGGGGCCCCGGTGACCCACGTCCGGGCGAGGGACACGCAAGACCATTTATTGTATTCATCATAAGGGGTCTTCTGAGCTACCCTTTGTCTGGCCCCTCCCCCCGGACCTGTTTGCCATGGGTGACCCTACCAGGGGCATAAAGCCCCCGACAACGGAGCTCCTGGGGGTCATTGGGACACGCAAACCCCTCCACCACGGTAAGGTAGTAGCTCAGGGAGGGGTATGGCAATCAATGGGAATCCGACGGTCTATAATTTCAACATAAAGTGTACATATTTATAATTTGAAATGTGTCCCAGCCTTTATACCACAGATACTATAGGGTCTATAGCATATAACCGCCTTTTCTGATTACAGTTTAATGCATTTTTCACAATTTACCAGCTCTCGTTTTGAAGGCTGAACAGACAATTTGACTGGAAGTACTTAGTAGGTGTCCATATAGCCAGAGCTAGCTCTGCATATAGCAGGGATAAATGGCCACCCTGCAGCAGCCAATCAGAATCGAGTATTCCCTCTCCGTTGCCATGGTTACCATCTAGCGTTTGAGCCAGCGCAGTAATCTAACTGTAATCAGGCAATTTGACCCGAACGTCTTTCCTAGGTGTACATTAACACTTTTTAACCTACACCCGCCAGCCAATCAGAATTGAGTATTCACGCCGACCATGGTATAAATAAATATTATATCAATCATCATATCAATATCAATATTATATTGGTTTTGTGATATTAGATAGATTTTGGATATCTTAATATCATGATGTGGCATAAGTGTTGTCTTTTCCTGGTTTCAAAGGCTGCATTACAGTAATACAAGGGATGAACAAAATAAGAAAATGCTCAGTACTTTCCATTTGTCAAGTATTTAATTCACACAGGAGTATACAAAAATCGGCTTTACCATGTGGTCATTTGGTAACACTTTAGATTAGGGACCACATATTCACCATTAACTAGTTGCTAAGATCGTAATTTACTTACTTACTATCAATAAGCAGTAATTAGGAGGTTATTGAGGGGAAACTCTAATATTAAAGTTAATGGCCTAGTAGTTGTAGAATATGGTCATGCAGAATAATGCATTAATAAGTGCTTTATAATGACTAATAAAGAGCCAATGTGCGTGCTTATAAGCAACTAGTTAATGGTAAATATGTGGTCCCTAATCTAAAGTGTTACCGGTCATTTTATATGCACTATTCATTTATTGAATTAGCAGAAAACAAGCTATATCGTGATATATATATATCGTTATCGAGATATTAAATTATCTATATGAGGATAGAGGATTTTGGCCATATCACCGAGCCCCTCATTTTATTTTTACTAAGATGAGCAAACTTTTGTTTCACACTTTTCCCAGCAGCACTGTCATTATTCTACAGAAACGTATCACGCAGGTTTCTCTGTTGTATGTGTTGGTCATTCCTCTGTTTTCCTCAACCACACACGGCGCTCCATTGCTCATGTTGGTGTTCACTGCTACCCCTCTGAGTCATTACCGCTGCCTTCTGCTGAGCAAGGCCTCAAAGGGTGAGCACCAACCTGGGGTGTCACCGAATGATAAATATTTCTACCTTTTTCTCTCTGCGTACCTGCTGTGCATGCAATGCACTCAGACACAATCACACAAACACACACACACACACACACACACACACACACACACAGACATACATACATGTACGCACACACACACACACACACAGGGTATCATGCACACGCAGACACAGAGGTAATTACACAGACGGTAATGGAAACGGTGTATCAATTTTAAATCACCATTTGCCGACGCTGCGCTACAGCGCTACACATTAACCTAGCGTAGATAATGTGGCGCCCTTCTTTGTCTGTCTTTGTTGTTGATTCATGGCCCCGGCTACAGAGACGTGACTGGCTAAGGTGTCGCCGGTGGCCACTATATACATAGGATTAAACTGGAGCGTTAACGCCTGGCTAATTACTAATTATTTCCCACAAGATGAAAAGTCAGTCAATGTGGCAAAGCATACTCTTCAACAGCTCGCACTTTCTGATGTTTTGTTTGGCAAGATTTATGGAACATGGTATGCTGTTATCATATTATCATCTCCTTGCTTTGAGACCAACGGTGTGTTGTCCCCCTTTGTTTCTGAAAATCATCATTTTCACATTGTCACTTTTAACACCATTTAGCACAGCAACCACACTGTTGCACGCAATGGCAGCTCGCTCACAGGCGCTAATCTACCAGCTACGCTTTAGCAGTTAGCATTTGTAAGTGCCTTGAATTTAGGTAAATGGGATTATGTTTAATGTGGCTTTTGGCCATACTTGTGACCCCTCGGATACATCAAATTGTGCTTTGCTTGGCTTTGGCTTTGGTTGGCTATAAGAATGAGAGATTGTAGTATTCAGGTCTCCTTTGGTTCCCTTAACACTAGTGCCTGTGAGTCAGACGGACCCAAATTGTGTTTGAGTGCCGTCGAAATGCCACATTTGGTCTCGCAAAGTTACACCTAACCTTTTGACTTCATTGAATAAGCCAGAGTTTATTCAAATGACCTTTCCACTTTAATTGGGTCGACATTTAGTTGATATCAAGCACTGGTGATGTCGACAGTCGTCTCCGCAACAGAGATTACCAATGTACGAATGTTAGAATACCAACGTAATCAGTATACCACCAATGTAATCTGATTATAACGATGCAATCAGAATTGCACTCAATGTTCACACAACCCCCACGCGTTAATGTGTAAATTATGACATTGCAAAAAAAGCCTTTTTTCCATTCGGTTAAATGTGACACGATGTTCAGTATGTATTCTAGAGTTGTGCGACACGGGTAAGCAGTTTCACAGTTAGTTTAATCAGCAAAGCTGCTATGGGGCAATTACATTTTTTTTGTTGAGATGATTGAAATTATGATGCCACATTAAGCTGTATCAGACAAACATCAAGTGAAGATTGCCTCCTATTGCATGGATCACTGAACATTACAGCGTTTTGGCCCGAGGAAAATAAATGATTTGCAACACTTTGTTTGCAATACTCTTCAAACATTGCTGTATTATGTTTATATGTATTTGATAGGAGGATAGTCGAGTGCTTAGGCTGTTTGACTTCCATCCCAAAGTTTCTGGGTTCAATCCCCAGTTTCCTCAGTCTACCTGTAGGTGTCCTAGAGCAAGATGCCCTAACCCTCGACCTGCTCCAAGATAAACTGTATCCAAATTCACTGTAAGTCACTTTGGATGAAAGCGTATGCTAACTCCATAGTACATTTAACCAATAAGGCTTGTACATCAGAATGTATCATGTGATTTTTTGTTGTTGCAAGATAGTTGTACTACTGTAAAATCCTAAATCAACATGAATATACTGTATCCTATGCGAAATCATTTCACGATTAATTACTAAACTGACCAAAAAGACATGACAACCAACAATATAATAAATATTAGCCTAATAACATTCCTATGCTCCTAGGCGATCATTGCGACGGGACGTTGCGATGCAAAAGCCCTGTGGACACCAATAAGTCGGTCCCAGTTAACCTTTTTGGGTTACATATAATTGCCGATGTTGTGACAGAACCAACCTTTCAAATAAAGGCCTAAATGAGCCTAATTCATGTGTTTTTGGAGAGTTCTTTGGGGGGGGGGGGTTGATAGTGATCTGCACAGGCAGAGAGGATGGACAAGGTGCTTCTCCCTGTCACCGTGGATCACAAACAGGATTCAAAGTCTTTATTTGTCACATGTGCGTACAGTGAACTGTGTCACTCTATTCATATATTTATGGATCAGGAGTAGATCGAGTACCTAAGTGCACCTAAGGAACGCATCTAAAATTCTTGGTCCAGGGCGTAAGAAACTAACACTTTAATCACAAAGGAAATGTGCATCATAACCAGTGTTGGGAACGTTACTTTAAAAAAGTAATTAGTTATAGTTACTCACTACTTGTTCCAAAAAGTAACTGAGTTAGTAACTGAATTACTTTATAATAAAAGTAACTAGTTACCAGGGAAAGTAACTATTTGTGTTACTGTAAAAAAAAACGGACTCGCCATCTCTGCTGCTTCTTCGAATCTGTTTGGTGTGTGTGTGTGGTGCGCGTGGCCTGGCTTGTGTGTAAAAACACTGGCTCCGATTGGCTACCATGAAACATGACATCATAATCGCTTATCTCGTTGTTAACCCACCCGGTCTCCTCACTAGCAGTTTGTGTACGGAGCCAGGGGTACGTTCGGATCAGAAGACTTTGAAAAGATTTGGAAAAGACCAGGTTTCCTGTTTCTGCTTTTGTCAGAGCTCATCTATTGGTTGTTGATTGTGTTACGTCACTGCGACTTGCGATAATATCAAACACGTTTGATATTATCGCAAGCCCAAGACTAGGAAAAGACTGATCTGAAACAGCGCAGATTACTACCTTAAACTTAACGATCGAGACGGGAGCGCGCTGTGACTCCAGTAAAACTCCTAGATTTACTAAAGACTTTCAGTTTTTAGTCTGGGACTGTGAAAATCTTTTGGTGTAAGCCCAGCATTACGCAGTTTATTCAATCAATTCATAGTAACGCACCGCATTTAACGTTCAGTACCGATAACGGTGTTGTAATGACGGAAACAGTAATTAGTTAGATTACCCCGTTACTGAAAAAATAACGCTGTTACATAACGCTGTTCTTTTAAACAGCGTTATTCCAAACACTGATCATAACTACAGTTCAGCTCAATCTGGATATTCTTAGGCATTTTATACCAGTGGTCCCTTGACATCCAACAATGAGAATAGAGGAGATGAATATGTTTATGCCACTTTGCATTATCGGATATTTCTGTATTATTGTACTGTTCCATCCATAGGGTAACGGCTGTTTTGTGTCTCTTTGAAGCTGAACATGGCAAAATTAAATCTGCCCACTTCATGTATCCAATGAAAACAACACTATCATTGCGGATTCAGCAAGTTTGTGACTAATTAGTGAGCTCAATGAATAAGCATATGGGTGCATAAATTGCCACACCAATACTTTTCATAATTATGCCAAGGCTTATAAGGGCATAATGTATAATGCAGAGATGTTTACACATTATATTGCAGATAATTGAGAGGTTTATGCTGTTTCACATGCGCTCACTCGAAATGTCAATGAGCAGTCAAACTTCTATATACAAAAAAGATCTTGCTTTGCCTTTCTTTGTGTTCGTTTGATTTATAACTTGCGGGTTTGGTCATCTCAAGCGATGTTTTGTATTTGTCAAGCTTTGTGTGTCAACACAGAAAGCTTGACTTCTTTTTTAAATTTATTGGTTCAAAAATATCATGGTCGGAATAATATAAAAGATCCAGATACGTACGTCTCAATTTGGTAATAATTTGTGTGAATGGGGACATGGCGTGTATGAAGGTCAAGCAGTTGTCATTTAAAGTGACGACAGTTAGAGGCAAGGCTTTATTCAATTAGATATAGGACCCTGGTGCCAAGCAGTTACCAAGACAACAAGTCCTGCAGGCGCCATTAAACCTTTTCCAGACAGATGAAATGGCTGACGCTTTGATTCCAAAACACACAAATCACTATAGTTTTTTGTTGTCGTTGTGAAATACCCTGATGCCCGGCGTGCTCTGGGACGTTTAGGGCTATAGGACACAAACCATTCAAGCTGACTGAGACCGTGGCACTAGCCTTCACACTAGCGTTGGGTTCACTATGGCCCCGGTTGTCTGAGCGGCACCACGTCAGTTGTGTGTTTCTGCTCTAGAGTTGGTGACGGTGATGGGAAAAAGAAAACACTGAACTTGCCCGACCTCCATTTTTTGCTTTCATGTTTGTTTTTTCCCTGATACATTGTTTACTTGCAGTATCCACGAAGAGTCGAGGACCTTATTTCTCTGATGCTTCAATGGACAACAAAAACAAACTATTTTGTTGTCCAAATAGTACAGACTCGGTAAAACCGCAGCCCAGCTGTCAGCTTTCTGACAAGTAAAGCACATCGTTAAAAACACAAGTCTTCCTAACTCCACCACCCAGCCCTCACTTTCACCATTTTCCCCATTTTCCCATTCATCAATCTGACAGTAACCAATTCTAACATTTAAAAGATATAATAGAATACATCTGAAATGGACACCGTCTGAGATTTGTGAAATGCAAAACACTGTTTTCAGATTCAGAGGCTTTTGTGTTATGTCAGTTTTTGTTGCCAATATGTCTTCCGTTTCGACATCCACTTCAATCCCTCTACAATTTACCCTCCTGTGTTAGGATAACGACATGCCGCTCTTCAAGATACCCATCTTGGGGGTGGGCTATGGGGGGGGGGGGCTATTTCCATGTGTTATTTACCCTATATCAGGCCATCTTGAAGAGTGTGCATCTCCAGATCACATTGACATCACACAAATGTCATCGCACGATATCCATAGAGGGGCGGCTCTCATGTTGTGATGTCCTATCTAGTTTGTGTTGACCTTTTTTGCCGGTATATTTTGTGGCGGTGAACAGACCGCAATGATTCCATTATAGGCAGGAAAGACACGATGGCCCCGAGGGTAGCAGACCTTTATCCCTATTGTGGGTGCGATCTCTGATGGATGCCTGATGTGAACGTTGTACTGCATTTACTGTTATGCCTTTCAGTTCAAACATGCGTAAAAAAACTTTACTGCGGAGCAATGGCTCTTATTTTGTAATATCTCCTTGTTGTTTTTATGACGAGAAGGCACAAATCTGGCTTGTCTCCCGGAGGGGGTTATCAGAGAACAGTAGCTGATTCTCTGTATGTTAGAGAGGGGGGGTGGCGCCAGACGCTGGCAGATGTGCTGTTGAGTGGGTAATTATGAAGCCGCTAAATCAAACCCTGCCGTGCAAGCCATCCACTCTCCGTTTAAACACTCCCATGGGAAGCAGGTGGGGGGTGGGGAGAGAGAGAGAGAGAGAGAGAGAGAGAGAGAGAGAAAGAGAGACGGCGGTATGTTTCCTCAAAGGGGAAACATGCCGCCCTGGATTACAATCCACCGGCCTGCCAGACGGTACGGTGTTGCTCATCTGTATTCATTAGCCTTCTTTCACTTTATCATCCCCCTGGTTGCTACGACACTTTTTCAGTCCAAAACGACACGGCCCTCAGTCTTCTTCTGCCACGTGGGGTACGTCTTACAGACTTGTTGTCGCGGGACATTGAGGGTTTCCAAATCAAATTGGATGTTAACGTAGCGTGTACAATACTCTTGTACTCTTGTAATTGGCTTTAGCTTTTCCTGTCTTTGTTTTTTAGCGGCTCAGCGTTTGCGATGCCGTATGTTGCGTTGTGTAAGCGTACTGCGGTGAACGTCCCGAGGGCAGATCAATTCCTTGACTTCCCATAATGACTTGACCTTCACTGGGTCAGGAGTTTTAAAATCTAAATCGTCGGCCACATCGATCACATCGAGTCGGGGACATTTGTGTTTTCTACTTAAATGTCTTTTTCGAAAAAGAAAAGTTAATGATGTAATCTAGTTCTATCTTAATTTGTTGTTTTTTATTTTCGATGACCTCCATGTCGCTGAGTATTGATTCCCTTTCTCTCAGTCATAGTCAAGTCAATTTTAAACGATGTATGTTTAATTTCTATTTTCTATACGGGACAACAGAGGAGAGGAGCCAAATATGTGCAATTAATTCATAGACATTTGACAGAAATGACATTTGAGTGCTCAAATGGTTACAGTAATACAATTTTCGTTAACACTTTAGATGAGGGACCACATATTCACCATTAACTAATTGCTAAGATCGCAATTGATGTACAACAACTTCCTTACTTACTATCAATAAGCAGTAATTAGGAGGTTATTGAGGGGAAACTCTAATATTAAAGTTAATGGCCTAGTAGTTGTAGAATATGGTCGTGCAGAATAATGCATTAATAAGTGCTTTATAATGACTAATAAAGAGCCAATGTGCGTGCTTATAAGCAACTAGTTAATGGTTAATATGTGGTCCCTAATCTAAAGTGTTACCCAATTTTCAGTGCTTAATTTGTAAAGTGGGAGGTCCCGGAACGCAGAGGGGATGTGGATCCGGCGGCTCATTACGGGGTTAGAGGTACCGGTACCTCCAAAAAAAGTAGCAGTGCTATTCGCGATTGTCGACGGGGGGGGGGGG